GAATTCTACCTATATGGAAGGAAGGTCATGAATGATATAGAAGATGCGATGCGAGACTTTAAAGTAAGTTAGGTAAAGGTAAACAACGTACGAGATACTCAATTGCAGAAGGTTGTGAATAGTCCATACTTCGGATAGAAGGCTAGAAGCGCGGGGATTCAATATCCAAGAATGATAGCGACATCGTCAGTGGCATATCTTATAGCCTATGGTTTCTAAGTATCGAGGGGTCTAGTTAAGAAAGAAATAGGAGAGTTAGAGACGATATGATGTCTCGCTTGATGTTCCAGAAAAGCATAAGGGAACCGATCGCAAGCTAAAGTATGATAGTACGACAAGGTTTTAGAAAGACGAGAATAAGGATAAGAAAAAGGCAAGTGAGAAGGTGACAAAAATTGATAAGTCCTCAGAATTAAGCCCATAAAAACAAAGGAGCCGATGGTTCCTCTAAGTTATAGAAAGCTTAATATAGCCTGAATGAACTCAAATGAGTCCAAGACTAGTAGCATTTAGAAGAAATAGAATGTTTCCCTGGTAGCAGAATGAGGGTGTAATTGTGATAAATAAAGGATGACCTTTGGGCCTTCGCTTGTTACTTACTTGANAAGAGGATTTCATGAATTGAAAGGGACTAAAATACCCATATAAGGTGAGTCATATTGGTATGCTATAAAGTACGGTTATGGAAGTATAGTATCACCCCTAGGTGGATCAATATAAGTACTCCAGATGTCCCTGATGAGACGCGAGCCCTGGCGGCGGTGTTACATAAAAGATCAAGTTATCAGTGGTAGATGATGAATCAACATTAAGGTGAATTAACAATAGATGGATAAAAGTTCAACAGTATGAGATGAAACTAGACCATCAGTCTTAAGGATAAGCAACGAAAGTAACCTGGAGTTGGTTGCAGACCTCACTAACGATAAATCGAAGTAAGAATTATGGTATAGTATGACCTACATAGATGCAGTAGAGTCATACGAATGGATAACCAGGTCTATGAAATAAGATATAGCCATATTCGTAAGTTCTACAAAGCACCGAGCGAAGAAATTCAGTACACCTATAGATGCCCAGAGAGTCATCCTATTAAGCCTTGTATATGTTTACAAAGTAAGGCCTAGAGATTGGCTAAAAGTTGGAGGAAAAAGGGGAGAAGAGTCGCATAGGCACACTAACAAGGTCAGTATCGTAGAGGCTGCATGACAGAAGGCAACAATTATGAGATTCGAAGGAATTCGATCACAAGTCATGGCGTGAGAAAGAGGCCTAAAGGGGGGAATGCCCTGGCCTTTGGAGTTATTCACAGAACAACTACTTAAATGGCAAGGAGAGTATTAAGGTATTCACAAGAGCTATAAGTTATGAAGATGATAAAAGCATCAGTCAACATTCGAGGACGAATTTTCCAAAGGAGGGAATGATGTTACATCCTTCAATATTACGATGATGTTACGCATTGCAGTATTACATTATGATAATATTACGCTTCACAGTATTAAATTACGACGATATTTCACCCTGTAGTATTGTACGTTGAATTTGTCGTAAGGTAATTGACATCAGTCCAAAGAAAAAATTATTTGGAGATTATAAGTTTATGCTATTTCAAGCAAGTGATGAGTAAATTCATGAAGGTGAGAGGGGAAGCAAGTCAAAGAAAATGAATGTTCGTCCAAGTTTGGCATGTTGGGATAAAATACGGGCCGAGCGTTAATACCCAATATTTATGGACTAGTACCATATAAGGTACCATATGACCATGATAGTATGCTATATAAAAAGGTATTAAAAATAAGTAGAATTTTAAGTAATTTTAGACAATTCTTAATTATGCGGGTAATTGGTTAATTACCGGGTAACGGGACATTACCTAATTACTTAATAAATGGATAAAGATTATAATTTCCCACCCTTACCCCCAACCCCAACCCCACGTGGCAGCAAGCCACTCCTTGAGCAAATGACTCTTAGTCATTTCTCATTAGGTGGCAACTTAATTCATTATATATAAGACACATCAACTCTAAGTCTTTCCATACAAAACCATATAGGCAATCAGATGTGAAGTTTGAAGATTTGTAAGGTGACTTTGTTAGTAATTGTTACCAATTTCGTGAAAATTACTACAAAATAGTAGCAACATGATTATTCAACCAATTCCTACACCAAATAATTCCAACGAGAATTATTAGCATATTAGCAACGTGAGATTTTGCGATTCTAAGGGAGTACGATACAATCTTTTCCAGGAATATCATACTGACTTTTTCCTACTCCAGGTATGTTAAGGCTAAGACCTTATTTCATTTTGCATGATCTCGTCATTATACAAGTTTGATAACGAGGCATAAAGAACAATTCATATCCCGGAATTTACGTATATTTTGTTAGTCTCGCAAGTTACGTATATTTTTCTAGTTTTGTAAGTTACAATATTCTCCTCATCGGGATTTCATATTCAATTGAGTATTTTCTTCTCACAGTCAAGAGAGCAGAGAGTTTATATATACAGTATTAAAGTATTTTTATTATTATCGAGCTATAATCGATGGGCAGTCCCCTATTGGACAACCTCTGATCAGATAGTAAGTTACATACCGAGCATGCCATGGCCGAGCACCTATGAGCGATGCCAGTTGGTCGAGATATAGAGCCTAATATGGCCGAGCGCCTATGAGCGAGCCTACTACGGCAGAGCAGTTATATATATATATATATATATATATANCATCATTTTGTACTAACGTCCCTTCTTTAGGGGCGCTGCATTTCATGCGTGCAGGTTGAGACAGACAGACGGGTATACCTCCTCATTATGTGTTGCCCGAGTCCAGCTTGATCGGTAAGCTCCATGCCTTTCGGAGTTGCCAGGTCTAGAGCCTTATGTACATCTTGTATATATATGTATATATGTTATGAGTAGGTCGGGGAGCTGTTCCGATCATAGTATATCCATCAGTAGAGGCTTGTAGACATATCATGTCAGTTTAGTACAGTATGTCATGCTTGCAGGCCTTGTATGTATATTTGATTGGTTTGTCAGCTGTAATAATTATGACGGCCTTGTCGGCTTAGTTTTATATTGAGATTTAGTCAGCATTCGCAGTTGTCTTGCAATGTGGCCCATGGCCAAAGTATGACATCATATGTTCAGAGTCCCTTAGTTGCAAGTTGCTACGCAAGAATAGGTGAGGCACTGGGTGTCGGTCTCGTCCCCCAGGTTCGGGGCGTGACAGATAACTTGAAGGTAAAAGAAGCCGTAGTCTTGTCCATTAATTTGGGCCATGAGGGAGGTTCGAGGGGGACCTAATTTATTATGGGAACCAGAAAATTGTACGGTGTATCCTTAAATGAGACTGGTCTTAGTTGAATGTCCTTATAATTGACGGTATTCAATAAATAGATTCTGATTCTTTGCTCCTTTAGCTCCTTCTTCTCCATCTCTTCTTCTTCTTCACCAAGAATACCAATTTTGGAAGCTTAAAATTCTTGTTTGGGGTTACAATTTTGATAATGATTAATTACCGTTAAAACCGTCTGAGTCTTGATTATATATGCTTAAACTGTTAATTTAAACAATGATTTAATGATTACTTTAAAAATCTCAAAATTCCATTATTCATCTTTAGAAAGTGTTGAAGAAGACAAAGTATGTCTTCTGAATTTGGTATTATTTGATCAAATTGGTGAATGTGAATAATTTGTGTTGGTATTTGGAGGGTTTCTTTCAACTTTGAGTTCATTTCAGAATTACAATTTTGAAGAACATTTTATTGAACAAGTACTAAAATTATGACATTCAAGTAGAGTTTGATAAATAATTTAACAGATAAGTTGATTGCAGATAATACAAAGTTACGCCAATCTAGTAGAGTTTGATGAACAATTGAACAAGCACAAATCATGTCAATTGGGTAGAATTTGTGAATAATTAACAATAGGGAAACTTACACAAATGTCACAAATAAGTCTCAACTTATCAACCTCTAGCCATTAGTTATAGACTTACCAAAACTAGCCAAGTACATATAAAAATTAAAAAATCTAATAAACAGGGTTCTTTCTCTCAATGAATTACATGCAAAAATCACCTTCTATATTTTTAAGTGTGATTAGCAACATTAGATGCAAGACAGAAAGAAAATTTTATGGAACATGTATCAAACTATAGAAGGTGTATACAATATTCCAAAAATCTAAGCAAAAAAGGAACTTTTTCAATGTGTATAGTTGAAATTCATTGAAAATATATAGATAAGTCAATATAAACAATTTGAGGAAGATTGGAGGTGATTTGGACTAGTTTTGTATCAAAATTCGTAATTAAATCGAGTTCAAAAAAATTCTTCTGCGACACATGTATCAAACATGTATCATGCATGTATCTCACACACAGGTATACATGGATATACATGTGATACACAATTGATACAAATATGATACATATGTGATAGACAAATGATACATGTGATACACATATCATTTTTTTTCGTGTTCAGTTTTTACTTCGAATTTGTAATTCAAACCACCTCAAAACTTCACCAAATCATCCCAAAACCGAGATTCAAGCTCCTTAAATTGTCCCCAATCTATTCTAATAACATCCACTAAAAACAAAGCAAAAATTTAATATTTTTTTTGCTACAAATAGCTAATTGGCTAATATTAGTAATATTTGGCTTATATTAGTAATATTTTATGAATTGGCCAACTTTTATAATGAGCTACTTATAAATGGACATAGGTGGTAGTTTCCTTAACAATATAGGTAGAATACAGCATAAGCTCAACCAATCTGATAGAAAAATCCCTGAAGAGCTACAAGGGTCGAAGCTCATTTTCTAAATACTTTCCAAAACTAGAATAATAATTAAAGATCAGCCATTTATACATCAAATTGACAGTAAAGTTAACCAAAATGCACATCTTTGGTCTATAAAATAGCCAAAGCATTCATGATATAAAACCAACTCAAACCAATAACACACACCACATTCCTTGAGAATTTGTACAGCTGATAGTTAGTGAATACTCAAATGCAAATGAACAATAAACAACAGCACAAGCAAGGAAACAAAAAACCAACAAAGTCCAAAAAAACACGTCCTTTGTCATGAAAAATCAACACGACACTAGCAATATCAAGTGCTAATATAGCTGGCCTCCGACGTGCTACCTCGTGACAACTGATGCAAAACGCTGGTTGGGGACGAGTTAGTCGTCGATGACCTTAAGGCCTCGGCTAGTGGCCCACCACCCATTGATGTTCGCCATGTAGATCGTTCAACATTACTGACTTGAGGGCTGGATTCATAGCCGTTCCCGGTCGAGAGCTTCAACGAGAAGTCGGACGATGGGTTTCCGGGCATTGAAATGGAAAGGCTGGTAGCAGAAGCTACTGAGCTTGAGTTGCTTCCAACATTGTCAACTTCTTGAAGTTGGCTAGGCCAATCATCAAAAAATTGGCGTAGGATTTGGCCACTAGATTTACCATCAGCAGATACATCTTTTTGGGCTTCTAGTGGACCCTTTTTGGACTCAGTTGGCCTACAAATCAACATCATGACATCCCAGCCCAAATCAAGCACGGGACAAATTGAAGTAAAAAGCTGCAACAAACATCTAGTACATAGGGGGACCTTTTTAATGCACAAAGAAAGATAGGCAAAGATCAATGTTATTCATATCCGGTAGCGGCAAAAAATGAATAAAATTTGAATATTTTTTTTGTATATAATACAAAAATATAATACAAAAAATATAATATATTTTTCGACTATTAGTTTAAAAACCAGTGTTTTTCTCGATGAGCATAATAATTGGATAGGGTGAAATCCTATTACCCACAACAAAAAAGCAGCACCCTGTGGGGTACCTAGAAAGAAAATGAAAGTGGGCCAAAACAATCTTAAACAGATTCTAAAAATCCAAGAAAAGTGGACCCTTTCAATCAATAAGTCAAAAAGGAAAAAAATAGGATAAAGGAACTTAGAGAAAATGGAATTATTTGATCAAGGTTTAACATAGATTTTCTCCCTGTTGGGAGACAAGTAACACTTAACAGTTATATATACAAATATGTCTCTTTGGAGGTGGTAGGGAAAAAAAGAGAGGATGGGGAAGAAGAGATAATGGAGGATATTTATTGGTCCTTTTAAGAAAAAAGTAAAGTTCAATGCTTTAATGCATAATTGAACTTCTTGTCATCTCTCTTTTGCAAAAACCAGTAAAGAGAATCTGCACAAAGTAACACTTTGCACTGAGAAAATGAGTTAGTACTGAAAAAACAATGAATAGGACGAATAATAAGTAATAAAAAAGCCCTAATAAACTGCAGAAATAATGAACAAAAGATATGTATACCTTTGATTGAGATGAAGAGTATGAATGGAAGGTGAAGGTAGAGATAGAGAAAAATGAGGAGTAGACGTAGCAGCAGAATGGCCTGGCAAGTTTTGATGAGAAACATTAGTACTAGTGTTGAGTTTACCACCATTAATGGCAGGTGTGGGAATTTCCACAGGCTTTCTTGAACGGCTGCGGCCACGATGAACGTGGCGCTCGCAGTATTTCTGGCCAGCCACTACATCCCTTGAACACCTCCATTTCTTCCCATCTGTTCTACGACACCTCCCTGGTTCTGGATCCATTGCTGCTCTTCCCGATTGCATCACTTCAATGAAATTTACATAAAAAGTTTTGATTAGTCGCTTCTTTCTTTTCTTTGAGCTCAAGTAGAAAATATAAATGAAATGATTTAATTAATATATAGTAGCAGCTAATCTAGTCTTATTTTCCAGGTTAATAATCCTACTTTTTTATGGACAGATAAATATAGTTAGTTATATTAAAGGGCAGCTCATTCTGAGTTCAACGCAGGTTCCGGGAAGAGTTACATCCAAGACTGCCATTCGTAGTTCAATATAATTATATTATAGGTGAAATAGTCTAAAGTTAAACTTTGAATGAAAACATCATTTACAACAAAAATATGCCAGAAATATTCTTGGAATGCAGTAGAAGTACAGATCGGTTGAGCTCATTAACCTAAGCTTATACCTGTATATTAAGAATAATTTCATATCAACCACATGAAGGCATTTGGATTTGGATTTGTTTCTTTAAGGGAAAAAATTGGTCCAAAAAGTATGTAAAGAAAATACTTCTGAAAAAGAATTTTATGTTACTAAAGGCTTTTATATTGTGTTAATAATTCAAAGTAATAAGGTTTTGAAGACATACATCAAGAACAGAAATTTAGGAAGCATTTACATTTTCCAAAGTTTAAAAACCAAGAAAATTGCAACACACACAAAAACCAAAATGAAGAGAAGACAAGATCATAATTTTCCCAAGTATAACACTTGAACTAAACTGAAAAAGAAAACAGTTAATAACTTACAGGCTTGCTGGTAATGAGGATAGTGTTGAAAGGGATGAGAGAAATAATATGAAGAAGGAGAAGTGATAATGCTTTTCTTAACAAGATGTAGGAGTTCAGGAGGAACAGGTGCACCCGCTATAAAATGTCTATATATCAAAGCCTGTAGTTCAAGCTCCTGCCACTGGCCCAAACTGAAGTAACTACTCTCCATCCCTATTCCAACAAAAGCAAAAACAAAAAAAATACTCAAAACTGAACTTGTAAGCAAGAAAAAAAAGAAACTTTATTAATTCTTACTGGGAAATTTGGTAGGAGTAGTGGTTGTTGAATCTGACAATTTAGTAGTTGGTTGAGATACAAACAATGGAAGAGCAGAATCAGAAACAGAGTCGAAGTCTCTTGGTATTTTTGCAGAAGAAGTTGGTGTTTCTTCTTCTTCTGACTCATGTTGCTTGTTTCTCCATTGCTTCAGATTGAAGTCCATAGAGAGAGAGAGAGAGAGAGAGAGAGATGGGATTTTTTTGTTTTGGCTTTTATTGTTATGGTTTTATTAGTGGTATGAAGATAAGATGCATATTAATGTGAGGGAGTGAAAGCGAACTTTGAAGAGAAAGTTTGGAGAAGCTTTTTGCAGTGACGAAACCCTGCAAAAGTGGAATTATGCCTTTAATATACCATTAACCACATGCATTTATCGGTATCTAGTTTTACGGATACTACTAATCTACTTTAACCTCTTGAAATGTGGTCTTTTTTCTGATTTTGCGTCAATGCACAATAACTTGTGCATCAAGCTATCTTTTTACCATGAAATTGTAAATATAAAAAACCGCTAGTAATCAGCAGTCTTGACTTTAAATTTTTTTTGGTAATTAATTAAGCTTTTCTTCTAAAATTGAAGTTATGTACAGTATAAAAAAAAAACTGAATGAAGAACATCATGCCCCAACTTTCAACGTGAAATTTTCTTTGATATTGAGTATTAACACATAATAAACATTCTACAATACAAATTCAAATAATCCAGCTAGTGCGTTCTGATGAATGGCCGAACCATAAGAAAAATTAAAATTCGAGACAATTATGCTGGATTAACAAACCCCTTATTAGAAATAATTTCCCTTAAGTAAGTCAAAAAGTATAGCGATCGATCTTAATTAAAAATTTGAGTTTGAATCCTCGGAAAAAACACATGTAAAGGAGAGATTTTTCTTTTAATTAATTTTACTATCAAAAATTTTCTATGACTCTTTTGCTTTTGCATGTCTTCCTCCATGCGTATTCGTCTTGAGCTGAGAGTCTATCTGAAACAGCCTTTATACTATAAGATAGGGTTAAAATAAAGGCGAAGCCGTAAGTTAAAATTTATGGGTTCTGAATTTAACTCGTACTAGTTACTGGATTTACATTTAAATAATTGTATATATTTAAGAAATTTTTTAATATAAATACAATATTTCAGCAAAAGTGACGGGATCGACCGAACTCATACCTCATAAGCTAGCTCCGCCTCAAGTTTAAAGTTGCATATTCATTATTCCTTCAGACCTAACTTGTAAAATTATACTGAATATGTGGTTGTTGTTATTGTTATTATTATTGTTATTGTTATTGTTATTGTTTGTTACCGACAAAAACTGAAATTACTTGGAATTTAAAACGGATACATAAAGCAAAAAAGAAAATCTTGAGCCAGTAAGCACTTGAGAAAAGTAAAAGAAATGAAAAAGGGTAAGCTATAGGCACTTGAGAGAAAGACAGACAAGACAGTTGAGAGAAAAGAAGATTAAAGAACACGACACACAAAAAATAAATTAAAAAAATATTTAGGTTGTAAGCTTCTGCAGACTCTTTGTGCATCTCTGTCGGTAGCTGTAAGTATTGGAAAGTGAACTCTAAAAAAGCAGTTATGACTAATGAATAGAATTTCGAGGCTGAGTTCTGGGGCCTTCTGTTTGGGGCTCAACAACGCCAACTTTTTCACCATTTTATTTTGGCTACGAGTCAAGAACTGAAACATGAGAGAATGTGAAAGACAGAAAGAGAAAATATTAAGGAGCTGACAATTGCAAGTTCTATTTCAGCCATATATTCAGACTTCGTCTAAATTTCATAAGCAGTAGCAAAGTTTTGGTCAGATGGAGGAAGACGAGGAGAGGAGCTCAAATTTCATTTACAAATTTAATTTTTCACTTTGGAGTTTGGAGTTTGGAGTTTAGGGTCTCCCGGAAATAACCTCCCTACCTCTCGTGGTTGTTTGACTCAAAAGATATTGGAACCTTTTGAATAAATTAATTAAAAAAAATGAAGGAGTAAATCTTAGTTAAACATAATAAATTCCAGATCAATGAATTAATCGAAAAAAATAGTATATGAGATGAAATAGAGGTAATCTATCTTATTGAAACTCTTCATTGTGGCTCTCATTAATCAATGGGGGAGGTTGCTTTACATGTTTTTTTCTTGAGAATGCTTCGTTCTTCTTTTTATTACGAAGATTACAGAAGAGAGAACTCAGAGAGGGGAAAAAGTCCAAAGCCACCTTAACCGAAGGTTTTCCCTTCCTATACATAGTCATGGGACTTTTCTATCTTACTTGGTCCGACGTTCTCTTATATTATGTCTGTCTTGGTCGTCGTCGTTTCTTCTGGCTCGACGGGTATCCGGAATGCTGAATGTGGAATAGGCCATGTCGTCTTTCACTGCCTTGCTTCCTGGACGGGACGTTGGTCATCTTGACAGCAGCGGTCAAATTTTGACCAATACAGTTACTCCCTTCGTCTGTCGGGGTCGTCCCCTGTCGGGCCAGGCAGACGGATCATGATTGCTACGAATTCGAGAGAAATCTGACTGCTTGTTCCTTGGTTATGCTTTTTTAGGTTTCAAGTGAGATGATGACGTTCTTTCGATATCTTTGGACCGTTGCGGCAGTTTCAGAACCGAAATGTCGTTTGGCATTAAAGCGTTGTTTCGTGGTTGCCGCCATTATGACACACGTTCTTGGAGAACCGAAATGTTTCGTGCCCTATCAGATTCGATTGGCGACTCTTGGTTTTCGTGCTTGGGAGGCTTATGTCTCCTTTAAATAGAAGGAACACATCATTCGATTGACACACTTCTTTGCCCTTTGCTTGAAAGAATTCTACAAATGTACTTTCTTCCGGATACTTTGAATTTTCATTCGCCCTCAGTTGACTGAAAACTTTCATCCTTTCTTTCCATTGTCTTTTTGCCACACCACCTTGACAAAATGGCTGGTGATTCCTCTCGCACTGTTCTCCCTGTCACATTTCCGGCATCGAAAAATGTTGTTCCGACCACTGGAGGGCAGAAGTGGTGGAAGACGATGAGGTCCTGTCGGTAGTTGAGATCTTGCCTCGTCCTGGGAGAGAATTGACCGACTTCTACAATCGTGCCGGGGTGGAGCCAGAACCTGTCCCCTCTGTTATAAAAGAGGAAGACATTGTAGAGTTGAAAGCTAGGTAGGGAATCCCCAATTATGTTGACATGCGGTCGGCGGTAGGGAACGGCATAGTCCATTTTGACCCCCCTGGTACTGCGTGTTCTATGCCTACTCGTTTCTCATCGGATACATGCTTCCTCTCCCTCTGTTGGTGGTGGATTTCTGTCATTTTTACGAGGTATGTCCCGCCCAACTTTCACCGTAAAAGTTGTTTCTTATATTGCTCAAGTTCGTGGAACTCGCCGGTCGTGAGATCACTTTGGATCACATGCTCAGTATCTTCGCCCCTCAACTTATTCGTGGCACGATGATCCACAGGCGTCCTCGAGGGTCGAAGAGTCTGGTGGTGAAGATGGACGACAGGACTAACCGTCGTTTCTACGAGAATTATTTCTATGTGCGGACCGAGCACATTGTGGCAGATCCAACGGGATTCCTGAGAAGTGGAACTTTGCACGTAAGTTTCTTATGTTTTTAGTCGGTGAGATGCCCGATCACTTTCTTTTACAGTATTAAACCTTATTATGTCTTTGCAACTGAGAAATCGCTCCCTCCATCTGTCGAAGGTATCTGCGAGTGGGTGAGTGTCATCCTTCCCCATACGGTGGGGATTCGCACATAGTTGATCTTTTATGAGAAATTTGGACGCAAGCCCCTTACAGGTGAGATGTCGTTTCTATTTGTTGTTTTTCCTCTCTTTTTACTTAGTTTCTTATGTATTGTTCGTCGATGCCAGGGAGAGTGCGGAGAGCGAGGGCTCCTCCGTTAGCTTTTCGTCAGCTTGCATCGTTTGCTCGCCCTGTTGCAGCATTTACCGCTCGGTCTTCATCGAGGGCTGCTCCAGTTGAGTTTGCAGTTGTGGTTATTCCTGCGGAGGCCACTTCTCAGATTGAGGTCCCGACTCGTGTCGCTCGTCTGACGGGTGAATCTCCCTGTGCTGAGGAAAAAAAAGGGCCGTCCAAGAGGCGACGAGTGGAATTCGAGACAGCCCCTCCAACTGTAATACACCTAGACGACTCTCCCTTGACAGGATCTGGGGCGGGGATTGACACCACTCCGCCCATAGAGATGGAGCCAGCCGTCGTATCTGCCCCGTCGACGGAGATTCCTGCCACTGCCTTTGATCAGTAACCTACCGTGATGGGGGGCTAGATTTCAGAGGCCGCTGTTAGGGTTTCGGACGTACCTTCGTCCTCCGTTCTTAGTCGTGCTTCCTCCTCAGCTGCTGAAAGAGGAAAGGGCGTTGTGGTCGACGACTATGAATCCGAGTCGGACCTCAATCCTGATGACGTTAAGATGTTTGAGGGGGGTATTACCCACTCAGTGGTTCGTGCAGGAGGCCCGGCCCGTATTCTTGAGATCTCTTCGAATCTTAATCTCCTCGGGACACGGAGGATTTGGCACCGCAGTTCGACATTTGTGCTCCGCTGCCAAGAAAGAGGCTCTCTGAAACGTTCCTAATAGCAACTTGATGAATGAAGTAGCCGCTATTGGCCTGAGGGTACATTACACTTTTCCCTTTTGTATTTCTCTCGTTTTTCTTGGTGATATGGCTTTAACCCATCTTCTCGCTTATCAGACATACATGGTGGAAGCGGAGAGTATGCACAGGGCCGACATTCGGGCAAGATTTTCTTGAAGATGTTGGAGAAGTATCGACGCTATCGCAACAGGTGCCGTGAGATGCACGAGCGGCTGAGGGAGAATCCCAGTGCTCGATCCCTCAGCGAGGAATTGGAGAAGAGAGACTAGCCATTGATGGAGGCCGTTCGCAGAAAGAGTGTGCTCGAGGAGCAGCTTCGCGCGAAGGATGAAGAGCTAGAGTTAGGCAAGGGGGTAGCCGCAGAGTGTGAACATCTGCAGGGGAGACTGAGGTCGATGCAGGCCGAGATGGATCAGAATCTTATCAAGGTCGAGGCGATGAGTGCGGAGTGGATGGAAAAATTGGCCGAGTTGGAGAGAAAGGTTGTCGGGTTGGAGAGTGTCGAGAGTGCTTGGTCTGCGGCTTCAGCAAAGGTGGCGGCTTTGGAAACAACTATTTGCGTCCTCCGATCAGAGCAGGAGTCGAAGAGGGCAACGACCATGCTGATGGAAGTGAGGCTCGAGGAGCGTATAAGTGAGATCGA